TACCACGAACAGCCATTGTCTGACCAAGGAGGGGGAGCAGGATCTACCGAGAACAGCCACAGTCTAACCGAGGAGGCGGAGCAAAGGCGATGATGATGATATCGACGCTCTCTCTCTCTCTTCGCCTCCTCCCTCCTCTCTCTCTCTCTCCTTCACTCACGCCTAGCGCCTCCTCTCTCCGTGCCTCTCTCTCTCTCTCTCCTCCGTTCTCCTCTCCTCTCTCTCTCTCTCTCTCTCTGTCTCTCTCTTTCTCTCGTTCTCCCTCTGTCTACCCTTTCTCTCTCGCTCTCCCTTTTCCTCTCTCTCTCTCTCTCTCTCTCTCTCTCTCTCTCTCCTCGCCTCTCTCCCTCGCTATCTCTCTCTCTCTCTCGCCGGCTCTCTCTCTCTCTCTCTCTCCTCTCTCTTTCTTTCTTCTCTTCCTCTCTCCGCTCTCGCCCTCACTCGCTTCTGTCCTGTTCTGGCTGCGTTTCCACACCACCCAGGAGGTAGCAGCCTCGGCGCCTTGCGACTTTTTTTAAGGAGGTGTCCATCCCCAGTAGGGATACCCTTCCTCCGGAGACACACGAACAAAAGCAAGTATTAGGAAAGAAGACCATTGTGAAACGAAACTATCTGGAATGTGAAGTTTTCTGAAATTTCAAACAACAACAACACGATCAAAACACGGCGGTATATAAAAGTAACTCTTGTCAAACGAATCTATCTTGCAAGTGAAATCTTCTCTACCTCAAAGTATGACAGAAATCCACGCTCAACAATCGAGGACGACAGAAGGCTCACGACACGAATGATTGTGTCAAGTTAACGTATCCATCGATGTAAAATCGATTGTAACTCCAAAGTAATATGAAAAAGAGGTTAAAGAGGACGTACTTCCACATACAAAGTTCTCATATACACGTACATACATACACACACATATACATATATGTATATGTCCACCTCTAAGTACCGAGACTTTTTTTCATACCCGCCACGCCCATGTCCTGTTCACTCCTCGCGCCGACCTAAGTTGCGATTGCTTGCACGTTAGCTCCGAGTAAATCTAAACTCGGTGCCCGACGCTTCAGGGCGGGCGGTCGCATGTGCATGTACATCAGGCGCCGCGGGATCCACCGTTTTGTCAGCAAGGTCCTGGTCGAGCAGGGGTAGAGACCGTACTCGTCCTGATACCAAGGCCCCGGCACGTCGAACCCGTTCGAGTCGGCATAACGCTCCAATGTCCTGTCAGCCGCAGTTGCGAAAGGAAAGATACCAACCTAAGCGACCGGGCCTGAGACGGTACTCTACCGTCATATGGAACGCGTGCACGAAAAGGTCACTGCTGGTGGTGGGCCAGTCGTCCAGGGCCTCCAGGGCCTCCAACAACTACATACGTTCTCGTTCAATGCCGTTCTAATCCTTGCCTTGGTGTACGCCGCGTGGATTAAGTCGCCTGGTGACGGGACGATGGGCAAAGCAAGGAAAAGGACCTGACCCCTATCAAGCCAATCGCGCCTTCACCCACCTTTGCCAGCATCACCTTCTCGCGAGCGTGCACCTGCCACTGAAGTCTTGCAGAAATCATCCCACTAGCTCTCCTCAGCCTCGTCCGCGACCTTCCAAGTCCACCACTTTGGGAACCTCAGTGGGAATAAAGAAAGCTCCTGCAGAAGAACTGCTGCTTACTATCCAAGACGGCCACTGGAACGGGGGGATCTCGAACTCAACCGGCGCGACAGGCGGAAGGAGGGCGTAGATTGGGCCTCAACAGGGGCGCGAGTAAGGTTTACGAGCAGTGGAGCCCTCTGGGTTCGTGACCGGGCAGGGCGGCCATCTTGGATTTGTGATACTTGCAAATACTTGCTAATAATTGCTAATGCTTCCTAATAATCGCTAATTATTGCTAATAATTGTAAATAATTGTTAATAATTGCTAATAATTGCTAATAATTGCTAAGAATTGCTAGTAATTGCTAATAATTGCTAATAATTGCTGATAATTGCTAATAATTGCTAATAATTGCTAATAATTGCTAATAATTGCTAATAATTGCTAATAATTGCTAATAATTTGTGATACTTGCTAATACTTGCTAATAATTGCTAATGCTTCCTAATAATTGCTAATAATTGCTAATAATTGTTAATAATTGCTAATAATTGCTAATAATTGCTAATAATTGCTAGTAATTGCTAATAATTGCTAATAATTGCTAATAATTGCTAATAATTGTTAATAATTGCGAATAATTGTTAATAATTGTTAATAATTGCTAATAATTGCTAATAATTGCTAATCTAATTTGCTAATCATAATTGCTAATAATTGCTAAAAATAATTGCTTAATTTGCTAATAATTGCTATTAATTGCTAATAATTGCTAATAATTGCTAATAATTGTGATACTTGCTAATAATTGCTAATAATTGCTAATAATTGCTAATAATTGCTAATAATTGCTAATAATTGCTAAGAATAATTGCTAATAATTGCTAATAATTGCTGATAATGGCTAATAATTGCTAATAATTGCTAATAATTGCTATTAATTGCTAATAATTGCTAATAATTAATAATTGCTAATAATTGCTAATAATTGCTGATAATTGCTAAGATTTGCTGATAATTGCTAATAATTGCTAATAATTGCTAATAATTGCTAATAATTGCTGATAATTGCTAATTGCTGAATTGCTGATAATTGCTAATTGCTAATAATTGCTAATAATTGCTTAATAATAATGCTAATTGCTACTAATAATTGCTAATAATTGCTAATAATTGCTGATACTTGCTAATAATTGCTAATAGTAATATTGCTAATAATAATTGCTAATAATTAATTGCTAATAATTGCTAATAATTGCTAAAATTGCTAATAATTGCTAATAATTGCTAATAATTGCTAATAATTGCTAATAATTGTTAATAATTGCTGGTAATTGCTATTAATTGCTAATAATTGCTAATAATTGCTAATAATTGCTGATACTTGCTAATAATTGCAAATAATTGTTAATAATTGCTAATAATTGCTGATAATTGCTAATAATTGCTAATAATTGCTGATAATAATGCTATAATGCTAATAACTGCTGATAATTGGCTAATAATTGCTAATAATTGCTAATAATTAATGCTGGTAATATATTGCTAATAATTGCTAATAATTGCTAATAATTGCTAATAATTGCTGATAATTGCTGATAATTGCTAAGAATTGCTGATAATTGCTGATAATTGCTAATATAATTGCTAATAATTGCTAATAATTGCTAATAATCTCTAATAATTGCTAATAATTGCTGTTAATTGCTAATAATTGCTGATAATGGCTAATAATTGCTAATAATTGCTAATAATTGCTGATACTTGCTAATAATTGCTAATAATTGCTAGTAATTGCTAATAATTGCTAATAATTGCTAATAATTGCTAATAATTGTTAATAATTGCTAATAATTGTTAATAATTGTTAATAATTGCTAATAATTGCTAATAATTGCTAATAATTGCTAATAATTGCTAATAATTGCTGATAACCCTAAACGTTTATGGTTTAGGCCCGAATCTGCACCAGTTCGGTCTGTATTCTAGGCCCAGAATAGGGGGTACCTCGAGATCGGCCTTCCGGCCTAATAAAAACGCTATTCTATGAACAGAATTTGTCACCCAAAACGCACACCCCAAAATCCAAGAAATTTGGCTTAAACGCTAAACCTTAAACGTTTATGGTTTAAGCCCGGATCTGCACCAGTTCCGTTTATATTTTAAGCCCAGAATGGAAGGGGCCTCGAGATCGGCCCTCCGGCCGAATAAAAACGCTATTCTATTAACAGAATTTGTTACCCAAAACGCCCACCCCAAAATCCAGGAAATTTGGCTTTAATTATTTTATGGTTTAAGCCCGAATCTGCACCAGTTCCGTTTGTATTTTAGGCCCAGAATGGAGGGGACCTCGAGATCGGCCCTCCGGCCCAATAAAAACGTTATTCTATGAACAGAATTTGTCACCCAAAACGCCAACCCCAAAATCCAGGAAATGTGGCTTTCAGTTTAGCAAACCCCCATTCAAGGTTCATTAACAGGGTTTTCCAAACCCTATGGTTTAGCAAACCCCCATTCAAGGTTTATTAAACCCTAATTTAGGGTTTAGCAAACCCTAGGGTTTAGCAAACACCCATTCAGGGTTTATTAACTAATTTAGGGTTTAGCAAACCCTAGGGCTTAGCAAGCCCCCACTCAAGGTTTATTAATTCTTAATTTAAGGTTTAGCAAACCCTAGGGTTTATTTAGGGTTTAGCAATCCTAGAGTTTAGCAAACCCCATTCATTTAGGGTTTAGCAAACCCTAGGGTTTAGCAACCCCCCACTCAGGGTTTATTAATTCTTAATTTAAGGTTTAGCAAACCCTAGGGTTTATTTAGGGTTTAGCAATCCTAGAGTTTAGCAAACCCCATTCAGGGTTTATTAAACCCTAATTCAGGGTTTAACAAACCCTAGGGTTTAGCAAACCCCCATTCAGGGTTTATTAAACCCTAATTCAGGGTTTAGCAAACCCCCATGCAAGGTTAAAAAACTAAAAAAAAACTAACAAAAATTAAAAAAATAGAAAAAAGGCCAAAAAATTCAAGAAAACCCAAAAAAAACCAAAAAAAAACCCAAAAAAAAAACCCAGTTTAGGATTCTCAAAAAGGCACCCCGCACACGAAGCAAGCTCAATATAACCCTAAACCCTATAACCCTAAACCCCAAACCCTAAACCCTAAACCTTATAACCCTAAACCCCAAAACCCTAAACCCCTAAACCCTAAACCTAAAACCCTAAACCCTAAACCCTATAACCCTAAACCCTAAACCTTATAACCCTAAACCCCAAAACCCTAAACCCCAAAACCCTAAACCTAAAACCCTAAACCCTAAACCCTATAACCCTAAACCCTAAACCTTATAACCCTAAACCCCAAAACCCTAAACCCCAAAACCCTATAACCCTAAACCCTAAAGTTCCAAGCTGCTTGAACCAGGTCTTCGGCGAGCTTGTAGTGGAGCCTCGGCCCAGCATGTTGCGGACCGTAAGGGCAGAACTCAGACCTTTCAAGGGCCCAGACCTTCCAAAATCCCTTAATTAAGGAATATACCTTAAATTATAGTAGGATCCCTAATATCATTTAAGGTAGATTCCTTAATTAAGGGATTTTGGAAGGTCTGGGGGTTCAGGGTTTAGGGTTATTATGCCGCGGTTGCTTCTGGAAGAACTTCTGCAAGGCTTCCTGAAGTCTCCTACTTTTGCAGGACCCCCTCGAATCGAATGTACAGTTTGGCTAAGGTGCATTCTCTGCAAAAGCTCCTGTTTAGATGTAGGGGATGTAGGGTTTTGGGTTTAAGGGTTTCGTGACCCTGTCAGCCGGTTCTTCTCGTTTCGGGAGTAAGGCAAAGGGAACATTTCCCGGAGGGTTCAGGCTTTAGGGTTTAGGGGCTTGGGTTTTAGGGTTCATATGTAAGACTTCCATGAAACTAGGTCCCTAAAACCATGATAGGGAAGGTCTTTTAAGACCCCATTCCAGAATGGTGGTGTATATCCCTAAGGGGGGCCCAATGTACCCATTGGGTCCAATGTACCTATATTGGGAGTACTTTAATTAAGGACAAAACTATATAATTACTATAACGGTACATGGACACTTAGGGTATGGACCCTCTGGATTTGATACCCCTGCACGCTGATGGCTGCTCTAAGTCCCTGAAACCTCCCAGACCTTCCAAAATCCCTTAATTAAGGAATATACCTTAAATTATGGTAGGATCCCCAATATCATTTTGGGTATATCCCTTAATTAAGGGATTTTGGAAGGTCTGGGCTACCCCCCCCTTCATCCCCCAAACAGGTCCTGTGCTTTTGGTTCCAGAAGTCAGGTCCCCTTGAAGGTACCATAAGCGTATAATAATAGTAGTAGTAATAATAATCTAGTGTTTAGGGTTTAGGGTTGTCATGATATTCATCTACTCCTTGCATCTTCTGACCTGTGCACGTCCTTCTGAAAGCCTGTCTGTCCGGCCCGTATGTCTGTGATTCTAGAGGGTGTTTGGGTTTAGAGTTTAGGGTTTATTCTAGATCAAATCAAACCTGAACCCTAAACGCAAAACTTGCGGCTCCACGGACCTTCCGGGATGGGAAAACGAGTTTAGAGTGCTGGAGCCCCTTCAGCAATCAGAGCTTCGCCCTCAAACCAAACCTAAGGGAGTTTGGGGTTTACCCATAGGCCCATAGTAGTTCCTTTTGGGGGTTCATATGTAGAATCCTGTAAGGTAATCACAAAAAGGGAACTACTATGGGGCCTATGGGTAGGGTCATGAAACCTGAACAGAGTTCGGCAAAAGGGCTGAATTCCAGACGCCATGCACTCGCGCACCAGCTCGGCGCAGCGGCGGGGGCGGCCGCAAAGGATGTGAGCCTGTCACTTCCCTTATCCAAAGGCTACATTGCAGTTCCTCTTTGTGTTAATATTTGGGATCCTATAACATGCCTTCTCCCAAAAAGGAACTTAAATGGTGCCTATGGGAATCCAAATACTTTTCTTGGATCCAACACAGAAAAAACCGGTGAGAAATGCCAGATCTGAACTCATGCATGAAGGATAGCTGCTATTGAGGGTTCTGGACGATGAGTGCCGGTGATTCTTCGCAGGGTTTGAGGCTACAGATATGTCATGACCAGGGCGCACCAAAGTTTCGCTGAATTCCGGCATTGGGGGCTGAGGCCGCTTGCAGGTTTCAGGATTTCGGCTTCAAGGAACTATGGGAGTTTCCGAAAACTTGGGGGTACCTTGCTTTTGAATTTTTATGATAAGGATCCTACTATTTACGGTGCTATATTCGGGTCCCCTATTTTGGGAAACTCCTATACTGCAAAACCCTAAACCCCAAACCCCAAATGTAGGGTGCAGGCAAGAGGTCAGGCTCTGTGTCGAGAGCTCAAGTTGCTTTCGTCAAAGGGGAAAAGGAGGGACCCTTCACAAGGAGCCCTACCCAAAAATGGACAAGATAGTGGGTATATAATGGCTATATTAAGGGCATATACCTAGGGGCCCTTGTTAAGGGTCCCTCCTTTTCCCCTTTGATTTTTGGCTCCCAGGGGTCCAAGGTACCTATATGGGGCGGGATGCTTATCCACACCACATAGCAGCTCCCCACTATCGAGACCCGACCTCCCACTATGTAGATACCTAGGGGCCTTCACGGTTTCGTAGCATTTGGTGATTTTAAACCCTAAACCGTACCTTAACCCGAGATAACATACCTGTTTAAGGACTTGTATAAAGAAAGCATCATAGGAAACCCTTGAAGGTAGGCCCTAAACCTTAAACCCCGGGCCCTCTAGACCCTAGACCCTGAAACCCCGAAACATAAACCCTAGACCCTATATAAACCCAGTATAGAGCCGAAGCCCTAAACCTTAGTCCCTAGGCCCTATCGGCCCTTTTCCCTATCGGCCTTGACCCGAGCAGCCCAGGCAATCTTGCCTCACATTGCTTCAGTGGCGGATACAGGGGTTTAGGGCTGTAAGGGCTTAGGGTTTAGGGTTTAAGGGTTTTAGGGTTTAGGGTTTAGGTTTCAAGGTCTTTTTTTGGGGTTTAGTTTCTAAGGTTTTTAAGGTTTAGGGTTTAGGTTTAAGGTTTTGGGGTCTAGGGTTTAGGGATTCGGGTTTAGGGTTGAAGTCTCGGGGAGTGGATCGCTCCAACCAGCAACCCTTACTCAGTTGCTGAGTTCATTAGCCACCAGTTTAGGGTTTAGGGTTTAGGGCCAAAAATAACAACTCTACACCTTCAGTTCCACAAGAGGCAATATCCCAACCGGTGTAAAGTGTACTCCTTCAGCCACTAAGCTATATTGGTTGCAAGGTTAAATTCAAGGTGACCCTGACCGATAAGCCCTAAACCCGAACCGGCTGAGGGTAGAGGACTCTCGTACCTGCATCAGGGGCTTAGAGTTTAAGGGTTTTCGTCGACTTGCAAATTACGCATTTTGCCTGCGAAAGAAGTATCTACAATGGTACCCCTCTGAGATCAGCATTTTTCTTCTACAAAAGTACATGGACCCGCAGGGGAGATGATGTCGTCTGAATTTGACGGTGCTTGTCGGGGGAAGCCAAGATCATGTCTTCTTGACTCCAGTGCTCGAAAATGGACCATCATTTTGACCACTACCCCTATAGCTAAAGTCAACCCATAAGGCTCGAGATAGCCCAACGGCCTTATACAAGTATGGTATGTGGGCCATAGGAGCCTTCAAGTATGACTCCTTATAGACCCTAAACCCTAGACCCTCAACCTTAAAACCTAAGCCCTAAACCCTGTAACCCTGAATAATGAGCCACAGAAGAATATGAGTCCTTATAGACCCTAACCCTAGACCCTCAACCTTAGAACCCAAGCCCTAAACCCTGTAACCCTGAATAATGAGCCTACAAAGAAGAGTCCCTAGAGCCTCAGGGAGCCCAAAAGCCCTAAATCATCCTAAATCCCAAACCTTCCAACAGCCCGTAATCAAGGGTTACACCTTAAGTTTCATTAGGATCCTTACTACAATTCAAGGTCTGTTCCTTAGTTGAGGGATACACTTTTAAATCATAGTAGGATCCCCAATATGACTTATGGCATATTTCTATGATTTAAAATACATGTCTATGATTTAAAGGTACATGTCTGACTTGTGGGATGTACATTTACTCCGAGCAGCTGGGCTTCACCTGCAGTCCCACAGTCAGCCTTTGAGTGATTTAGGGTTTAGGGTTTTTGGGGTTTCGGGCTTTTGGGCTTGAGGGTTGTAGGGCTTGAGGCTTTAGGGTTTCGGGTTTGGCCTTCAGCCTCTTTCAAAGCTCAGCAGCGTAAGCCTATCAATAAACGTGTAGACTTTCAACTCTCTATATAAGGGATACGCTTATATCAGGCTTATATATCCCAAAAGGTGTAAAGTGTAATCGCTGAGCTACCAAGAGCTCCTCTGTAGGCTGAGACTTTACTGTTGCAGGGTTTAGGCTTAGGGTTTCAGGTCAAGGGTTCAGGGTGGGGGTTGTGCGCTTTGATACCCTTTCAATCAACTCAGCGCCGAGGATAGGAAATAATTTCGAACCGGGTGGGCGGTTTAAGAGCTCTAGTTACTACGTCCGATGATCCTCCAAGTAAACTCAAGGCCCGAAACCTGAAACCAAAAACAATTATAGCACCCAACACCCCAAACTCTAAACCCCTAAACCCAAATCCTTTTTGTACCCTTAGGGTACCTTTAAAGGGGCCCTTAAAGGATTCCGACCTACCCCCAACCACCCTCTATTAATTATCACCCAAATACCCACTATTACGCACCATAAGGGCTCCATTAAAAGGATGCCTAGAGGACCCCTAGAGAACCTTGAAAGGAGCCCATAACCCTAAACCGCCTGGGTTTATGATTTAGGGGTATAAGGGTCCAGGAATTTAGGGTTTAGGCTTTCGGGTTTAGGGGTTTAGGGTTTGGGGCTTTGGGGATTTAGGGTCAAGCGTTTTAGTGTACTTTTGACTGCGGCCACCTCCCTAGTGTGGCAACGACCGGGTCGAAGCAGTATACACCGTCCCGAACACTGAAATTCCTGACACAAGCTGTTATTTACGATCCCTAAAACCCTGAACTCCTCAACTACAGCCGCAAAGGGACCCGTCAAAGGAGCCCTGAAATTACACCGCAAAGGAACCCTTAAGGTGGGGGGCCTGTCCCAGAGCCGTTCTGAGCGTTGCCAGTGCCGGCCCTCTGCGGCGCTGTTGAGCAAGGAGCCTGTAGATCTTCATTGGACTATAGGTGACTATCTAGGGTCCAGGGATTAGGCTTTCGGGTTTATGGGTTCATCTTAGTTGCTGAGTTCATAAGCCCCAAAACGTGTACACTTGCCGTTTTATCGTGGGTGGTGTTATCCCAAAAAGTGTAAAGTGTATCCACTCAGCTACTAAGAAATATAGGGTTCCGGGGCTTACGGTTTAGAGTTATATGAGCTCTACCAAGACACAGCATCAGCCGTTCCGGAAGACTTCAGGGGCAAAGGCTTTATTATACCCCCGAAGAACCTACATTTTTCAAGGACTTATATAAAGAAATCAGAATAAGGAACCCTAAAAAGGTAGATTATTGAGGATTAAGGTAGAGTTTAGGCTTCAGCTGGCTTCAGGGTCGGGTTTAGAGTTGTTTGTAGATTCGGGGGGATGGTATATCTGAATGGGAGTTGGGCCGTCAGCCCTCAAACCCTCTACCTGGCATAAGGTCTTTAGGCTTCAGGGTTTTGTATGCTTCTTCAGGGCTGGTATATAGGGACCATGCGATCGAACACAATTTAGGGTAGGTTTGAGGGTTTTAGCCCTAAGGGTCCATGTGCCCAAATAGTATATATTTGGCCTTAAAGTGCTCCCTATATAGGTACATTGGGCCCAAAGTATATACTATTTGGGTACATGGACCTATAGGGTAGGGTTTACTATAAGTTACGATTCTGAGTGTGTTCAGCGACATTCCTTGCTTGAGGGTGTTGTGAGCTTTATGGCTGAGGTTTTATAGGTTTAAGAAAGAACGCAAAACAAATCTCTCATTGACCAAATGGAGAACGCAAGAACTTAAGAACTTGCGGTTTAAGTTCGGACATCTTGCCGGAGTTTAGGGAGTAGGGAATAAGGGCTCAACAGTTTGACACGAATTATAGGCTTTAGTTTAAGGTTTAGGTTTATTTGGGGTTATGAAGTGCTGAGTTCATTCCGGTCTGCACTGTTCTATTAGGGTTCAGGTGTGCTTATACGGTCTAACCCAGAGACTCCAAAACCCCTTAATTAAGGAATATACCTTAAATTCTAATTATTATAATTTAGGAGCCCTAATATAATTTAAGGTATATTCCTTAATTAAGGGGTTTTGGAAGGTCTGGGAAGTTTTGGGGCTTCAGACGCGGCTGGGCGTATGATTTATCAGTGCCGGCAGCAGCAAATGTGCGACCTCCACGCGTCACTCAGTGATGCGTAAAAGAGGTCCGGCCAACGCGGTCCCCCTGAGTCCCGGCTGTCTTCTTCAGGATCAGGTTCGTGGCGTGCATTCGTAACCTCGCAGGAGTCACTCCTGGAGGCATGGGTTAAGGCTGTCATACCCTCAGGGTCACAGCAAGCGTCAGCACCGGCATCCGTCAGCAAGCGCACAACCTCGAAGTGACCGCTCCTGGACTTTGAAGTAACCAGGGAGAAAAAAGTATAGACTTTTATTTCATAATAGTGAATTCTTTTAAGGAACAGGCACCAAGAAAGTGTTCAAGTATGGTACTCCAAACCCAGGGCTCTCAGATGCGAGCATCAGGGCCGTTCTGGCGTGGCAGTCCGCAGCTTGTGTTTCCTAGTTCATGATTGGGATAGGATTAATTTGCTTATATTTGTATTCCTTATTGGGTTTTAACTATTAAAAAACTTATTCCTTATTGGGTTTAAGTATCCATAAAAATGTGAAATGTTACCCAACTATGACAAAGTTTCAGCACCGGCTTCCAGCAGCAAGCCTGCGATCTTCCAGTTCCCAGCCAGAGATGCCAGCATTAGGGCAGTCTTGCCATCATGGTCTGAGTAGTCTTTCTGGGCACCTGCTTCCAGCAGCAAGCGAGCAACCTCGAAGTCAGTTGTCTCAGATGCAAATGATGCAAGCATCAGCGCCGTTCGGCCATGGCGGTCTGCAACATTAACCCCTGCATCAAACTGCAGGAGTAAGCGTGCGATGTTCAAGTGACCGCTGAGGCATGCTAGCATCAGGGCTGTCTTGCCTTCGCGGTCTACTTTGTCCGTTTTGGCACCAGCTTCCAGCAGCGCACGTGCAACCTCCAAGTCACCTCGCGCACATGCGAGCATCAGAGCAGTTCTACCACTGCGTGTTGCCAAGTCTTTTGCGGCACCAGCTTCCAGCAGCAAGCACACGATCTTCAAGTGACCACTCACACATGCCTGCATTAGGGCTGTCTTGCCTTCACGGCCTGCGGTGTCTTTCTCAGCACCAGCTTCTAGCAGCATGCGAACAACCTCCAAGACACCTTTCTGAGACGCCAGCATAAGGGCTGTGCAGTGTGCACCATGTTTTTCAGCATCGAACTGCAGTAGTAAGTGTGCGATCTTCACGTGACCACAGAGAGACGCTAACATCAGAGCTGTCCTGCCTTCACGGTCTACTGTGTCTGTTTTGGCACCAGCTTCCAGCAGCCTGCGTGCAACCTCAAACTGACCTCTCGCAGATGCGAGCATTAGGGCAGTTTTACAGCTGCGGCTTGTAGCGTCTTTCGCGGCACCGAATTCCAGCAGCAAGCTCGCGATCTTCAAGTCACCTTTTTCACATGCCAGCATCAGGGCTGTTCTGCCCCTGTGGTTTGCATCTTTGTCCGCACCAGCTTCCAGCAACATGCTTGCAACCCGGCAGGATCCGCTCACAGATGCGATCATCAGCGCTGTCATACCCTCATGGCGACAATCCTTATCGACCCCAGCTTGAAGCAAAAAACGAACGGTGTCCTCACGATTTCGTCGAGCGGCCTGAGCAAGATCCGCACGAGCAAAAGTTGCAGTGTAGTTTCTTTCTGAGAGGCCATAGATGGTCAGCAACACTAACTGCAAGTCCATGGTGGCGTCAAGCTTCGCATACTCATCCAAGATCGTCCCGTTGTGCAGAAGTTGCTGCAGATAGACAGGGAAGCCACAAAGATCACACAAGTGCTTCTTCAAAGCCCGTGTGTGATCGAAATCTTTGGCACTGACAGTGGCCAACTCTTTCCCCGACGCCCTCCAAACACGAAGCATTGCGAAAGCGGCGACACTTCTAGGGTTCCTTCTTATGTGATTTCTTTATAGAAGCCCCTACAAAGTACTTGGGGTTAAGGTAGCAATAATTCACTTACTATAACTCCCACTAGGGTACTTATAACCTTACCTGCTGAGTCCATGAGAGGACCTGACGGACTTGGAATGCAGATTGATGAGGAATCCTTTTCCCAATGTCATGACTTGACCTAAGCATAGAATTTAGAGCTTTAGGGCTTAGGGCTTATATTGTTACTTAACAATAACCAAAACCCAGAATAACGGTCACAATCATACTCATAACGCGGCAAGGTCTGCAACTTGGCTATTCCCTACTTAGTTATATACAGATTATATAGGGACTATACTACCTAAAACAGGTTACCCAGAGAGCCCAATACCCCTTAATTAGGGAATATAGCTTAAATCAAAATATGAAGCCCTATATAATTCAAGCCATATTCCTTAATTGAGGGGTATTGGGCTCTCTGGGTTAAGGTTACCCACTCGACTACTAGGATTCAGTCACTCCGTCCAACGATGCACCACCGGCCAAACGAGCCAAGCGGGCTGCAGCTCATCACGACTTTGAATGATACCATACTTGGAAGGTCATGGGACTTAGTAAGTAAGGTTATAAGTACCCTAATTGGGGTTATAAGTCATTATCACTATGGTTACCCTGTTTAAAACCCCAATTACTAAGTCCCATGATCCTCCAAGTAGAGAAGCAAAGAAACTGAACCAATCTCCATGGCACCCTATATAAACCTACACCCTAAACCGACCCCAAAACCCTATAACCTTGGGCCCCTATGGCCCAGAAAAGCTCCAAGGACGAAGCCTAGCTAAGAATCCGAATCTCGAACACGAGGGCAGTTCGAGGTGCAGCGTGGAGGTCGTTTTGAGCTAGACAGCTTAGGCAGCGATGGAGCATGGACTAGGAGCTGTATGGATTTCGTGAGGGACTGAACATGTCTCTGCGATGGAATACTACCGGACTCGAAGGAGGAATTGCATCTTGAAAAACAGGATCGACCCGGAGGGTTTAATCGTAGGTGTTATATTCGTTATTTCGCCCTAGGGGTCCATCTACCCATATATTACGTAAAAATTGGCCTCAAAGAACTCCCTATGCACGTACTTTAGGGGCAGCGTGAATATTATTTGGGCTTCAACGGAGGATGAAATGCAGGCAGGGTGCCCAAAGTCACTTCATTCGGCCTGGGCGGTGCGGTTCACACTCTCTGTGTGTCTGCAAGAAGACCGTGGGTGGCACATCATCTCTGGTTTAGGGATGCTTGGATAAGAGACAGATACCCAGAGTCCAAAGACTTACATCTCAACTTACATCGCACTTTCCGCTTGAAGGGTCCTGGGACTTAGGAAGTAAGGTTGTAATAAGTAAGGTTATAAGTATGGGACTTAGTAAGGTTAAAGGCAAGGTTATAAGAAACTTACTCGCGTTATTCGCCTCGGCCCCGGCCGAAGCGGTCAGAGGTTCCTATTCGGATTCCCTCTATTCCCCACCTCTTAATCCCCTCCCCAGTGACCCCACCCCAAAATCGGGGCCCACTGCCCCCCCCCCCCCCCCTAAAAAATGGAAACGTGTCGATGCCCCAAGTGAATTCTCGCCTTCCAATGGATTTTGGCAGTCTGTAGCCGCCCCCCCCCCCCCCCCCCCCCCCCCCCCCCCCCCCCCTCCCCCCTTCCCTCCCGCCCCTCCTCCGCTCGCTGACAGGTGCGAGCTTTCTGGAGTTTTCGACGACTCAAACCCTGATACCCTAGAAGGGGCCCCCCACCCTGTAATAGTGGTATAATAGGAGTATACTCTACAAGAGCTTGCTGCAGATAGTAGCCGCTCGCCGCATGCGCGTACAGCCGGGCCGAGGCGGACGACGCGCAGCGTTTCAAATAAGGTATGACTGAGGTGGTTGTAAATACATATCCTAATAATAAAATCACGTCTCATGATCCTCTGAGGACGTACACTGTCTGCGCTTCACTCCTACTTACTTTCATCTCCAATTAGTCGCAAAGTTTTTGAGGCCTGGAAAATCTTTATATTAGGTAATATATGCCTGAACTCCGAATGAAAAGCCTCAATGCTAGATCGTAGCCCGCAAGAAACGGCTGGGCTCCCTGGGTGTACCGCCTTGTGGCAAACTAGCACAAGGAGTCGACATGCTCGTGCAGATGTGCTTTCCAGGTTGGTACGTATGGGGTCTAGAGTCCAGACATACCCTCAGGGTTCATGTTCCGAAAAAGAATGAACTTAGGCCGAATCGGCACTTTGGCTCTAAGTATACACTTCAGAAGTACTTGGACCCTTCGGGATACATTGTCTGAACCCAGCACCCTCCTCGACCAAAGGAGTGTAGCATTTAGGGGCCAATAGGGTCTTATGGAACATATTCTGCATGGCTTAACATAACCCCGCGGAATCATACCAGTGGCTGTCCTGAAGGCTCCAGGCCTTCAAGGGCTCCTAACGTATAGGTACCTTGGGGTTCATGTATATATCTATATAACAATATCCCAAACGGTCCTATGTACTGTTATGGGGGATACTTCCCTAAGTCATTATAGCAATTCTTAATATGGAAAACCTACATTCTACGCTACTGTCTCCGATGAATCTGCATGAGCCGTAGGCCGCGGAAATTCTCACTAAGATCCTAGACCCTGAATCCGATAAAACTGAACCATAAACCCTAAAAAGACCTAAACACTGAACCCTAAACCATGCAAAAAACAAACCTAAAACCTGAACCCTGAACCCCCAAACCCTACACCCTGAACGCTAGACCTGAAGCCCAAACACTAAAACCCAAAGCCCCACAAGCATCTACATACATAGGGGCTTAGTACCCTATCCCCAAGCAAGTAATCCTTTTCAACTATGCTAGGATTATCTAAACCTCAAACCATTAAAGGCTACCTACTCAGCTAGTAAGACTAAGAATACGCCGAAATACCCTAAACCCCAAACCCGTCCACAATAACCCTAAACCCTGAACCCTAATAACCCAAACCTCTTAACCCTACACCCTGAACCCCAAAACCCAACCCTGTTAACCCAAAATCCTGAAGCCTAAAACCCTAGCCTCTTTGCCACGATCCCTGAAGCCTATACACTACAACTCAAAGCGCACAATAGGGCCCCCAAAAAAGCACATAAGCAAGAATTAGGCTAGGGCTATCCCATATAAACCCCCATGTGGAAGCCCATTAAGGTAAGGATATCCCTATAAAATGCTTATGCTTATGTGCTTTTTTGGCCCCTAACACAACCAGCTCAACACGCCTCCACAATCCAGCGGAAGCTTCATCCAGCAGGGCATCCACCTCCACACTTAGCGGAATCGTGGGACCTAGTGACTGCCTGGACCCCAAAAGTATGCAGAATAATCGTAATATTTTTGGCTTTGGGCTACTTATTTACATACTTTTGGGGGTCTAGGTAGGGATCCTTAAGTTACTGGGTTCCTTAAAGGGTCCCATAAGGGATTAGGGGTTTACTGCTTAGCTGATCATGGGACTTAGTCGTAGGGTTACCGCCCCTGTACGCAGGGTGTCTGTTTTTTCGGGTCTTATCTGTTTTTGCTGTTGCAGCTTTAAAGTTTAGGGTATCGGGGCTTTAGGACTTTAGAGCATAGGCTGTGCAAAAAAACAACTTACTTTTTCTGATCCGAGGGTTCAAGATTCCAAAAACAGTGCAGGAATTGACAATTATCCCAAATCAATGTCGAGTACAGGTGCTTAAACGAGTGTGATGGGTTGAGAAAAACTCTGAAAGGGTGTAGTGCCTCCTCTGCATGGCACCTACGGGGCTGACAGCACAAACGGGGCTAGGGTCCTTCAGGTTTAGGTTTGGGCACTACTTCGGGGCTCCGTGAAGGGGTTAGAAGGGTCTTCTGGGATATTATGCGAGAGTTAAGGGCCCAACAATGGTTAGTACTCGGAGGCCTGAGATGATAAGACCATTGGACCCTCAAGAGTAGGGTTAGGCTGTGGGTGTTTATTGACAGAAAGGGTTTAGGGTTTAAAGACTTGCTCACAGAAAGATACAGTATGACATGTGAACTTCCATGACGCGGATGCAGGGTGTGTGTAGTCAAGGACCCCGTGTAGGGACACTTAAGGCCAAAGAAGAGAATGCATACCGTCAGGGTCCAAGTAATTATAGTAATATACAGTTCGGACCCAGCCTGCCTACAAAGGGACACTGCTTTGGGCCTACACTAGAAAAGTGAGACATGAACCTTGAGGGTAAGGTGGCCTTTGCGAAATTTGGGCATTCTGCTGTAGCTGGGTGTGGAAGATTGAGGGCTTCTGGTTTAGGGTTTAGGGTTTAGGGTTTAGGGTTTAGGGTTTAGGGTTTAGGGTTTAGGGTTTAGGGTTTAGGGTTTAGGGGCTATTGCTCAGAGGTTTGTATATGGGCGGTTATTCAAACTATGGTCCCTTTTTGGGTACCCTAAATATTAGGTGCCGTATTGTAATAAGGACCAAAGCAGATATGGGTGATAATTTATGAATCCCATAATGTCGCTTGCAGGCGGTTTGCAGAGCACCAGATTTTGGAGTACCAAACATATGTATGGGTAGCGGGGGAAGGACTTAGGGTTTGGGGTCCAAGTACCTACTAGACCGTACTCTGGCCTGAAGCAGGTCTCTGTACAGGTACTTTGGGGTCTAAGTGTATACCATAAAAGTCCTTGGACCCTTAGTAGAGAAGAGGGTTCGGGAGGTATATCATAGGATCATCTTTAAAGTTAAAGCTTATCGGTGGATATGAATGCCTGGATGCTGAACCACAAACTGTACAGCAAACGTCAACCTTAAGCCGAAAATCCGCCTGCCCTAAGCCCTAATGCACCGAAGCCCAAAATGCAATGTCCGAAACCCCGAACGCCGAAACCGCAAACCGGCGACCACAAAAGCGCATACGCCCAATCCCGAAACGCCACTTTGGAGGGCGGGGGACTTACTAAGTAATCCTCAATAGCATGGTAAGCTGGAGAACTGCAACTACTGTTGATGATATAAATCCTGCATTACCTTAAGGACCCTAAACTGAGGAATTATGGTATATTCCTTATTATGAGTCATGCAGGATTTATATCATCAACCGGAGAACTGCAAGTATGCGTATTTTGTTAGATGCTTTTTTAGGCTCACTTAGTCCCCAGACCTTCCAATCTCCACTATATATCTTCAATATACCCTGAATCATATTCTTAGTTGCTGAGTTCACAAGCCCCCAAAAAGTGTACACGTTTAGTTTTATAGCGGGTAATACTATCCCAAAAAATGTAAAGTGTATCCACTCAGCTACTGAGTATCCAGGATCCTATAATTAGGGGATATTGGAAGGTCGCAAGCCGCAACCCCACCTCATCCTTCTTATCGTGCATCTCTAGGACGGTCGCATAAGTGGAGCAAATCACAACATTGAGGCGGGCTCCGTCCTCCGGGTTTGGGTTTAAGGTTTAAGGTTTGTATCGGAGATGTGTACTTATTCTGACAGTCTTCTGATAAGGGATTCCGTGAAGGATTTTGTGGCATCGGAATTTGGGGCTCAGGTGTGCTGAGGGGCTTTGGGCTGTAAAAGCATACTTGGAGGGTCAGGGGACTTAGTAAGTAAGCTTCTAAGTACCCTTACATACTGGGGTTATAAATAATTGTAAGTATAGTTGCCTTTTTTATAACCCTAGTTACTAAGTCCCATGACCCTTTAAGTAGGGTGTCCGAGCTTTAGGAGCTTAGGGGCTTAGAGCTGGTGGTGTAAGGAAGACTGTCACCCAAACTCAGCGGCTTATAGTAGACCCCGCATACACCAACATGTTCGATTACCCTAAGGCTCCATGTACCCATGTAGTATATACTTAGGCCTTAAAGTGCCGATCTAGGGACCCCTCTGAGGCTTAAGTATCTACTATAAGGGTGCATGGAGCCTTTGGGTGAGGATATACCCAAAGGCTCCACCCAAGACCTTAAAGCCCTGACCCTACTCAATTTATTGTGAATAACTTGCCCTTCTTTACAAAAGTCCCCCAAAACCCTACTCGTTTGATTGCTAATGACCTGCTTTGTTCACAAACTTCCCTAAACCCTAAACCCAAACACCATCGCCCTAGCCCCTAAACCCTGTTTACAAAAAGTTCCCTAAACCCTGAACCCTAACCATGTTCCCTAAACTCTATAAACCCTAAACCCAAACAAAAAGTTCCCTAAATCCTGAACCCAAACCATGGTCCTTCTTGAGAGAGCGCCAAAGCTCTTGGGCCCACAGCAACCCACTCTCTTCCCGCGAGCTGAGGCAAACCTGGGTTTAGGGTTGAGGGTTCAGGAGAAAGGGTTTGGGGTTAGGGTTTAGGGTTAGGGTTTAGGGTTTAGGGTTTAGGGTCAAGGTGTCGCAGTCCTAGACCCACGAGTAACCTAGAAGTTGGGGCCCATCCTGACTAATCGATCAATCTGGGGATCATAAGTGGGGTTCTAATCTAGACCCAAGAGAACCTAGGAATAAAAAGGGTGCCCTTTTTGGTTTAAAGGGGCTCATAAGGCTACTCGAAGTCCTGGTTTCTCTTATGGGAGGTGGGTTTGGGGTTTTAGTGTTTTGGGTTTTAGGGTTTGGGCTTTAGATGCTAGGGTTTGGGGTTCAGGGTTTTAGGGTTCAGGGGTTTAGCGTTTAACGTCTTCTGCTCTTCACAGGTTCCCGTGTGCCCCCGCAACAATTGATGAGGCTACCTTCTTCTTGCGGTTCTGCTTTTTTCAAAGGAAGCCTAAGTTCAAGGCGGGAAGCCCAGCTTTCTCTGAAGGGAGTGGAGGGGGTCCTCAAAGATGGGATCTCATAATGGGTTTCGCAGGGTTTCTATGCCAGACCCGAAACCGTTGCACCCTATCCATAGGCCCCGAAGTAATTCCTTTTTGGGGTTCATATGTAGAACCCAGGCCCCAAAGTAGTTCCTTTTTGGGATTACCTTATAGGATTCTACATATGGGTGGTTGTCAAAATTATGGCCTATTTTTGGGTCCCTAATGTAGTACGGCACCTACTATTTAGGGTACCCAAAAAGGGACCACAATTTTGACAGCCACCCATATGAGCCCCCAAAAGGAACTACTTTGGGACCTTAGGGTAGACCACAACCTTCAATCAGACACCTCTACCCACACCCTCATCCTTGAGCTCTGACATCCAAACCTGCAAACTGAATTCTAAGCCTTAACCCCAAGGGTCCAAAGGACCCAATAATTAGGTACTCGGTTTTGGGATACTAGTTACGTAGGTTAGGATTTCGGAGAGTATATGATTATTAGGTACTTGGACCCTTGGGGTAACTCAAAAGGAGAAACACCACTAAATCGTGCCTATATATATATATATATAAATCCTAACGTAGAAGAGAGAAAGTTGGGACATTTCCATCCTGATGCCCTTCAACTGAAGCATAGGGAATCCTAGCACTACGCATCCTTGAGTAGCCTTAGCTGAAGTTCCCCACTTTCTGGCGTGCCACTGCGATCCGAACCCAGCTGAACAGCATTAATCTTCCTGACTCGCCTTAATTCATGCTCCAATTTTCTGGTTTAGCCCTAAACCCTGAACCCCAAACCCTAGACCCTAGATCCTAAACCCCAAATCCAGCTGAAGAGCATGTAGGATACCGTTCGCAAGCACATCGTCCTTTAGGAGGTCGCCGGCTCCTAGACGTGCCGCTGAAAGGGTCCATGTGCCCCAGGGGTTAGGGGTTCCTTTAAGGGTTACTACAAGGGTTCTATAAGGGTTCTATAATAAGGGTTCTATAGGGGTCTAGGGTTTAAGGGTCCATGTGTCCAAATGGTATATACTTAGGGCCCAAAGTACTTAAAAGGGGACTACGATAAGGCCAAGGTAACAACAAATTGGGTGTATGGACCCTGAGGGCTAAGGTCCATACGGCTTAGGGTTGAAGTGTGCAAGTTTTGAGGGTTTAGGGTTTACGGCTAGATATCAGGATGAGGGTTTAGGGATGTAAGGGTTAAGGTTTTTTCGCTTTAGGGCTTTGCAGTTTTACGGTTTGGGGTTCAGGGTCCACTTCTCCAACCTTATAGACATGACTACCATGTTTTGTTTTATTCAGGTTCCTCTGCGATTGTCACGTCTAGGTTTAACTTGATTCTCTCAAATCCTCTCCAAATGTATGTCGCAAAGGAGTGAACCTAGCAAACGCCAACCTTGTCTCGTCTATGGTTATTCAGCCTAAACCCTAAACTTAAACCCTAGCAAGGTCCCGCTTTGGGGTTCGTGACCCCTGGTAACGACGACGAGCCTTTCGAGGAAAAGTCCTCCCCAGAGGATAGGCAGAACCCTGAATTCCCAAACCCTATACCCTAAACCCCCTTTAAGGAACCCCAAAAGGAACCCCTAGAGGAGCCCTCCAAGGAGAACTCTTGAAGGAGCCGTTAAAGGAGCCCGAAACTTACCTTTGGTTAGTAGGGAATGGAAGAATGGTAGTAATAGTAGCCATAATTGGAGCCCATTCCTCCATTCCCGACTAACCAAACGTAAGTAAACCCTAATCCGGGGTTTAGGGTGTAAGGTTTCTGGTCCAGGGGTTTTAAGTTTAAGGTTTGAGGTCTTAAGGTTTAGTTTTTTTCGGGTTTGGGTTTCAGTAACCAAACAACCTGGTAAAAAACGTACCCTAGGAACATACAAACACCCTTGCAAAATGATCGAAAAAACCTTAGGGCAGGTTAGAAGGGGCCCTCACCCTGTAATAGTGGTATAATAGGACTTTGATAGGGCCCTAATACAATCCTTATAGTCACTATTACGGGGTGGGGGCCCCTTCTAAGCTAAACCCCCAACCCAGACCTTCCAAAAGCCCTTAATTAAGGAATATACCTTAAATGATATTAGGGATCCTACTATAATTTAAGGTATATTCCTTAATTAAGGGATTTTGGAAGGTCTGGGCCTCTAAGCCCCAGCAGACACCCCTAAGCCCTAAAGCCCAAGCCTTCAACTTCCCCCAAAATCCGGAAAAATTGCCCCAAAAACCTGAACCTCACACCCGAAACCCGCAAAACCCCGAACTCAAAACACCAAAAACAACTCTAAAATGTGAAAAAAAACCACTGAGAGGCGGCCCTAGGCTCGTCCGTATTCGTCCCATGCCTCCTGCGGGGATCTTCGAGAATGGCTTAGATTTGGGATCACCTTCCCAAAAGGTCCTATGTACTGTTATGGGGGATACTTCCCTAGGCCATACTAGTAATTCCTAATATGGAAACCCTACATCCTACCATATCGGTACATAGGACCCTTTGGGCTTGTAGGATCCTAAGTATGGGTGGTTGTCAACATTATGGTGGTCCCTTGTTGGGTCCCTATCAAAATACGGCACCTATTTTTTAGGGTACCCAAAAAGGAACCTTAATTTTGACAACTACCCATATAAGCCACAAAAACAAACTACAATGGAGCCCGTAGGTAGTGCCGTGTCGCGTGTTAGTGCCCCCCCCCACCCCCCCAATGGTATGGTCCCCCCATGGTATACACCCGAATCGTAAGGGTCGTCACTGTTGTCTCAAAAGTGCCAACAGTCACAAGTATGGGCCCTCCGAACCCACGATCTTTGTGAGTGCTGTGGATTTTGAAGCTATGCAACTTCGTGGCGTGTCCAAGCAGGCGACGCTCACCTGGATGGGCCATGGTTTCCGTCTGCGCCGCGCCCAGCTGCTGACCCTCAACCGAAAACTTATTCATATCTATACACCTAAACCCTAAACAACCCCACTACCCACAGGGGGGATGCGGATGCCAACCCTGAACCCTAATCCCAACACCCACCAGCACGCCACAGGGAGGCGGGAAGGAGGTTAATTAAACACTAAACCTGAAACCCACAACGCACCACCACAGCACACCACACCACACAGAACCCACCACCGCACCCAGGGGGCCGCGGGTGCAAACCCTAACCCTAGCACCCACCACCACACAGGGTAAACACTCAACCTGAAACCCACAACCCACCACTGCAGCACACCACACAACACCACACGCGGGCAGAGGGGGGTTTTAATAACCCCAAACCTACCACTCACCACAGGAAGACGAGGAGGGCTCAACAACCCAAGCCCATCACCACACCACAGGGGCGGAGAGGGGTGGCAAATAACCCCAAACCCACCACCACACCATAGGGGACCAGGGGGCTTAAACAACCCAAGCCCACCACACCACACCTCTCCACAGTGGGCGCGACGGAGAGCATTCCGGAATTCGCGCTAAACCTTAAAGTTTTTTGGGGGAGGAGGGCTTCATCATTCTAGAAATTTCCTGAAGGTTCTATGAGGATGTAGTAAAGCCGTTAAAGCCCTAAAACCCCGAATGCCCAGGACCATTTCCAAAATGTGGGAGTCCATGTATTGTGTAGGGTGCTTAAGCCCTCAGCTCTCGTATTATCTCACAAGAAGGAAACTTTTGGAAGAACATGTGCAAATACCAAAGCATTCAGTTGAGGGCACTTGATAATTGGTGTTTAGGTACGTATAGGTACGGTTTAGGGTTTAGGATTCAGTGGCTAGGGCTCCGGAAGTAGGGATGTACACCACAACAGACGCCAATCAACAACAAGGCTTCCTATGACTCGACGTCTATTACTTCTGGGTCGATGCCTTTCTGTGCTCATGGCTACCTGCCTCGCCCTCGAAGAGGTTCAACATGGTGGAGTGATCCATACAAAAAGTAACTGTTTCGAACCTATGATTTGACTTACTTCTACGGTGTAGGTTACGGCCTACCTACCACGTTGCAGAACATGCAATCCAAATCAGCGGACCCTTTTTCTGACTTTGCAGCTTTCACACACACATACGCAAAAACATACCATGCATACTTATGTGCACGCATGCCTACATACATACACACACACACACATATATTTCTCTTGTTTACTCACCCAATTACCTACGCGCATATGCATGCATGTATGTACGTACGACTGTATATACGTATGTCTATAAGACACCGACACGCGTCTAGACATGCATGTAGGTATTTTGCAGACACACATACATATATTGATTAAGAGGGAGTGCTAGCGGCTTTTCAGGTTGCACGTTCAGTGTTTTTCGGACAGAGGACTCATCTGAGCCCTAGACACTCTTTCGAATCTACACTGAACAACTTCTCCAGCCCCCAGACCACATTTAAGGCTCCACCGTCCTGTGCACGGAGAAGCGCATGTTGCCGTCGGGCTTTGATGCGCTGTACCCCGTCCTCGGCGTTCGCACACCTGGCACTCTTGACGGTTGGGTCCCAGATTCTCAAACAACCCGTATCTTTGAATATCCCTGAATCAAGCAAACTACAAGAAAAAAACGGTAGGATCCCTAGTATGATCGAACGTATAGTCCTCAATTAAGGGATATTCGAAAGACTGGGAACCGGTGGATCAGGAATCTACAGTAATGCCTTGCGGCTCTCTCTACTTTTGAACCGAAGGGCTTGTTGTACTGTTACTTTTACTGTCTGTTAGTATTATCATTTGCACTAATCTTCTGACTAGTAATTATACTTATTGTAGTTAGTAGTTCTCTACCGAGAAAAATCTCGCAGAATATCCGCAGAACGTCAGCAACACAAAATTAACAAGCGAAGCGACACTGCGGAGATCCAAATCATTTTCGAGTTTATATGCGTGACCCAACTTCTCCAGGTGCCCTCTAGAGTTCAAGGTTTAGGGTTTAAAAGGCCTAGAGTTTGAGGTTTAGGGTTTGAAGGGCCTAGAGTTTAAGGTTTAGGGTTTAAGGGCCTAGAGTTTAAGGTTTAGGGTTTCAAAGGGCTTAGACCGAGAGCCTGGACAGAGCTGTGAAGTAGGAGCTGAGAAGGATCGGCGTCATCGGAAGCTTCTGCTGAACTTGCAGGTCCTTCCAGGCTCGGGTCTTTAACTTGGGGTGGGGAGGAAGGAGGGGTTTCGGGTTTAGGGCTTAGAGCTTTGGGGTTAGGGATTATAGGGGGTTTAGGCCTGAATTACAAGCCCCTAAACCCTATGGGGTTTAGGCTTGAGTTACCAGCCCCTAAACCCCTAAACCCTAAACCTTAAACTCTAAACCCTAAACCCTCAACCCCTTCAAACCCAAGACCGCGCAAACCCAAAGTCTCTTTGAATGCCGCGACCCGTTGTGGTCCTTGATGTTCAGCAGTGCCTCCCACCACTTGCCTCGCCGATGTGGAGGGTCAAAGAGTGTCGGGAAGCTTAATATAGGGGCCGTAATTATTAGAATAGGGTTTTGGGGCCCGTTATACTATAATCAAAATAAGGAACCCGCAAAATAGTATAGGTAATTATTGGAGGCCCCTAGATTACTTTACGGATCAGGCAAAGTAGTAACTACAAGTCGAAGCTAGGAAGTTGGAACACCATTATCCTCATGCCCTGAGGGTAAGATATGTGGAATCCTTGCACTAATCATCCTAAGCCCATGTATAGGGGCCTTGATAACTACCTCCACTATTTTGGGGATTCCTTCTTATAATTATAGTATAACGGGCCCAGAAAGCCGATTCTAATTGTTCAAGCCTCTATGGTAAGTCATAAACAGAGGTCTAAGTAGGATCCCTCCATTTAGACAAGCCTGCAGCCCCCGTGATGAGTGGCTTTCCAAGCCCCGTGATCCTTCAAGCAAAGAACCCTAAGCACAAATCCCTAAACCCGAAGCCCTAAACAAGGTAGCGCTTAGGGATTCGGTTTTAAAGTGGCTCCTTTTAGAGTTTTGAAGTTTTGGGGTGTGCTAGGACCCCCCCAAGGGCCCTGGAATAGAGGCCTTATGGCGCTTGATGGCTGGTACTTGGGCATATTCGAGGGTACTTGGGGGGTCGAGGTGGGATAGGGTTTAGGATTGAGGTGGAGTCTAATCAGTATTTCTTTACAGTGGCAAAGGGATTCTTTGAAGGTTTGGGGGCTTAACGTTCATGGGGATTAGGGACCCAAAACCAAACCCCTCAAACAAACCATCAAACAGCAGCAATGGCTAACCCCACACCTCACATCCTACACCTCCCCCTACACTTTCACCCCATTTCTCAACCCGCCTAACATTTCAACCCTTCGAAACACCAAAACACAAAGCACCTCCCAAAAGCCAATACAATAATCCTGAACACAAAGCAAGACACCACAACAAACACAATAATCCAAAACACAACCCAAAACCATAGCTACTTCCCAACCTCTTAACCTTGTCCATGCAATAACTAATATCCTAATGAGGTGTGGAGCAAGACCCTACTGGTAATAGAAAAACCCAAAGATTATAACCCTGAACTGGGGAATGTCGGACTCCCTCATTTTGGTCACGAGCGCGGTGCTCCACTTCGCTTCGGAAGATTCTGTTTAAAGCACACAACCCATTGCTCAATCTTGTCAGCCATCGTTGGCTGTTTCACTTTCTGCGTGGTCCTCCAACCCCCATCAAACTGAAACTGCGGAACGCCAAAGAAGAAGGAACGACAAAGAATGAACATATTGTTAAGTTAATTGCCAAAATTAACTTGGGGCTTGATAATGACATTGACGTTAAACAATCCAAATACATTAACAGCAGATAATATCATTATGGGAGGAACTGAATTATCCCAAATATAAACAAAGGATGAGCTAGGAAACAACGCCCAGATATCAACAACTACAGGCGATAATAGCGCATTCGCAGTCAAACGATCTTCGAGAGGTTAGAACTCATTGAGAAAAACTTGAAGAAGTTTATTGACAAACCTAAGCAGGTGAACAAAAACACAATGGATAAAGATAGTGATGATTACAAGAATAGAAGCGTATATGTTCATAAACTGAAGAACAAGGATATTAAGTTTCCCAAGAAAGAGACATTCGACTATTACGAGATTAAATTTCGCGACAAAGAGAGAGCATATTAGACAATGTATTTTACAAACAACGTATTTTACAAAAAAACACTTAAAGACTTAAGAACTTATATACGAATGGCAGCAGTATCTGACAGGAAATAACTAAAATTCAACATGACGTGAAAATGATAAAGGATGAAGTTATGACAATATGCCATGTATAGAAACCTGTATGATGACGACTTATGTAAGGAATGGAATACTTTTTGTCGGAATTATAAACGGAAGAACAGTAGATGGGAAAGCAACACCACGAAGGGAACATGCAATAATTAGTTTATTTCATTTCATTCAAGGGACCAGGTTATAATCTTTTGGACATTTTCTATTAGGGACTTACCCCACACCTCATATTAGGATGTTGGTTAATTTATGAAAAAGGTTATGGGGTTGGGAGGTTGTTTTGGTTTAGGGTTGTGTTATGGATTATTGTAGTTGTTGTGGTGTGTTGCTTTGTTTCGGGATTATTGTATTGGTTTTTGGGAGGTGCTTTGTGTTTTGCAGGTTTGAAGTGTTGAAATGTTAGGCGGGTTGAGAAATGGGGTGAAAGTGCAGGGGGGAGTGCAGGATGTGAGGTGCGGGGTTAGCCATTGCTTGCTCAAACGCCCTCCAACAAGCCGATAAGACAAAACAGCAAAGCAGGATAATCAAACAGAGAAGTTATGACACCCACAATAAAACCTGACGACATACCCGCAAGCTACTCAAACAGTTTGGACACCCTCCAGACATCTGACAAAACTGCGGCAAAACGCCAAGACACATCGCCGTACAGAACTCTGTATGTATATAGAACCGCCATTTTGAAGAATCCTGTTAACTACAAAACTACAGCATAAACACCCACCTAAAGCCCTCGAATACCTCACAAACACCTTACAGCCCTGCAGCTTACAAAGTTCTCCTGAAACAAGCTACAGAAGCCCTTTGTTCAACCCGATACAACCCTTACTGACATTAGAACCCTGCTTATATACCCCGTTTAAGACCCCTTTACAGAACAACCCCTTTGAGGGTCCCTGTTGACTTTTTCCCCTAAGACTCCAAATAGCCCAAAGGTAGTACGGTTGATGGTAAAAATCCTGCATTACCTAAAGGACCCTAAACTATGGGAATTACGGTATATTCCTCATCTTGGGTCATGCAGGATTTATATCATCAACCGTATTTATTCCCCTTCAAACCCCAAAGTAGGTACTATTTGTATACTTGGAGTCTCAGGGTTTCCCTGTATGAGCCTTGCTCACAGCGCTTCATGGCGGCCGCAAGGACGCTGACGTCCGCGCCGCCCGCAGCCACTGCTTCGTCGAGGTGCGACAAGAGTTCGGCCCTGGGATTTCTTTGTGTTTAGGGTTTGGGGTTTGGGGTATAGGGTATAGGGCCGGCTTCAGGGTTTAGGGGGATACTTCCCTAAGTCATGATAGTAATTCCTAGTATGAAAACCCTACATTCTACTATATCGGTACACAGGACCCTTTCTTTCCCAAAGGCTCCATGTACCCTCATAGTAGATACTTAAGGCTTAGAGGGGTCCCTATATAGGCACTTTAAGGCCAAAGTATATTACTACATGGGTACATGGAGCCTTATAGGGTTTGTTTTTATGTCCAGGTCTAGGGTTTAGGGTATAAGCCCAAAGGGTCCTATGTACCGCTATAGTAGAATGTAGAGTTTCCATATTAGGAACTGCTATTATGACTTAGGGAAGTATCCCCCATAACAGTACAAAGGACCCTTTGGGAAGGGGTTGAGGCTTTGGGGTTCGGGGTTGAAAGTGTATATGGCATGTGAAGAAATCTTAGAGTTTCCGAAAATTAGGATACCTTATTTTGGGGTCCTTATAATAAGAATCCTATTGTTTAGGGGTCCCCTATTTTCGGAAACTCCCATGTTCGAAGGCCTTACAGTGGGAATTTCTGGGGGCCTAAACCCTAAACCCTAAACCCAAACCGCCGCTCCGACACATTCAACAAAGTGCCCCCTCAGCTTAAACCCGAAACCCGGGGGGTCATAGAAGTTGGTGTTTTGAACGAGCTGCATAGCCTGCCGCACATGAGCTCGTCACCGGTGAAAACTCATCCTACCCCAACCCGCGGGGGATCCAGATGTGGAACATCATCAAAAGATAAATTGGCATCAGCACGTTCAGAAAAGTACCGCGTTCGCGGTAACTTGGATAAAGCTGTCTTCTTGGTGATACGAAACTTTGCTTTGGCAGCACGCCACATAGAACATAGAGTACGTGGTAGGTTAGAGGTGCGGTCCTTCCAGCGCCACTTTCTCCCACACCTCAAACACTGAAGCCATCCCTCATCCGGTGCGCCTATATTCTTGCCAAGTTTGCGGTTCCAGTGAAGCAGATGTTTGGCTCGATTATATTTCATGTTGAGTTCCCGCTCCAGTTGGTCGAGCCGGTTGTCGTTGGACAGAAAACCTTCAGACGCCAAAACAGGGCCACCTCGTTGTGTGCACGGTTTGCTCGTAATCTTGAGTCGAACATGCTGAGTATTGGAGGTAAACTTCCCACATAAACGGCACCAAAAGCCGCCCTCAGTACGCGGTGCCAGCAAATGCCCATTCTCCACAATACCTCGTTCAGTAATCTCCCGCGTAGGAAAGTTACGTCTCTTGTCCTCCAAGTCCCCCCCCGCATGCCACCTGACAATATGCTTCTGCCAGACGTCAACAAGGAATTCTTGAACTACGAGTACCACGTCATCGTTCAAGTAAAAGTCCTCTGGTACCACCATCGCATACGTAAAGCATATTGGCAAATCCTCAATCCTGCACCCCAGAGACTCCAACACGTGTGCTCGTTCCTCCGCATATAAGGCACATCGCCATGAAACGTGCATGATGGTCTCCTCCTCCGCACCGCAAGAGCACATACGATTGGAATCCTGTCGTTTGTGCCGCGACGCCCGCTCTGGCGTCATCAAGCCTCCTGCAATGATACGACGCAAAACTCCAAGTTTAGCCCATGCATCCTCATCGCCTTGTCGCGCGCGTTCCTCCAGTTTCCGGTGGTAAAGTAGTGTACGCACACGATCCACCCTCCCAGCACCCGCATAATGTTGAGATCTTTCCTGGCTCACCTTCCGCCACAAGTAGGCTCGCCACTCATCTCGTAGTTGATGTAACCACAACCCTTCATCGATCTCACCCGCCATCAATTCATTGACCCTGGTTGACAAGATGGACACATCACGAAGGTTTTGCAACCGTAGCGTAGGACCATCCACCACCGCCGAAGGAGTACAGTGGTACCTCCTGCGGATTTCCGCCGCTATGTCCGGTACTCGCATAATCCGCATAACAGTGCGCAGTCTTTCGTAAGCCGCCCCAAACTCAGGATCAAGCTGGACTGGACACAAAATCGCCATCGTGACAAGAGGGCTCATAGAGTAAAACTCGCATCCCCATAAGGATCGCATAACCTCTGTGCGCACCGTACGCAGATAAGTAACATCCGCAGCGATAGCGTGCGTCCCCTGCCCAAAAAGCGCTTGCGACTGCGTGGCCATCATCATCCGCGAACGATCCGCCCATGAGCGAGGTACATGGCGTATCCTCCTGATGCTACCCTTCCAAGCGTCCCAGCGCTTCTGTTCCAGCATCGTGACATTCAAAGCGGCATCCCGCACCACAATGGACCCGCCCACCAGTCGGAATTCGGATAAATGCGAATATGCCGGTTCCAAAGCAGCCTCAATCCCAGCATCGCCGAATGTGTAGGTTTTGCGCTCGTGTACTTCTCCGCACTCCGCTTGCTCATAAGCCCTGATGATCGCGTGAAAGCCCCGTAATCCATGACGTACCCCCTCCACTGTATCAGCTTGCGCCACCACACTAATATCATCTGCGTATGATCTCGGCTTGACGTTCGCTCCCAGTTCAACCTTAGAGGCCTCCAAGACGCATGAAACGATGCTGTTCAAAGCTATCATTGAGAGTGCATCTCCCTGTATGATACCACCGTCCGGACGCCACCATTCTCCCAATGCACCTCGCAGCCTGAACACCCGCCAAAGCCCATCATACATAGAAGCGAGTGGTCTCAGCAAACGCTCCGCGGCTCCACGCCGCCGCATCGTAGCCAGCATAATGTTAATCGGCACCAGATCAAAGGCTTTTTTAAAATCATAAGACACTCCACCAACGCACGGTGGCCCACCATAGGCCGAAGCTTCCAGGTCAAGGGCAACCTGCATCGCCAAGTGCTCGGAGCTACGCTTTCGCCTGCAACCGAACACCGAATCATCTACCCAGCACTCTTGCCACTTCATCGCGGTCACGAAGCGGGCCTTCGACCACAATCGGTAGATTCCTGATAACACCGTTATCGGGCGAAACTCCGTTGGAGCAGGATCTGCGACAGTAGAGTCTTTAGGGATTAGTGCAGTGTAGGCACGAAGTATGGCTCGAGGCCATCGGCTGGTGGTTTCAACAAAGTCCAGTATCAACGCTAAGTCATCGTAAATGCCTGGTGCCCAATGCCCCAAAGCAGCCAGTGACCCAGGTTTCCACATGTCCAAGCTCGGCGCCGAAGACGCAGTTTCACGAGCTACCTCCGCCAGAAAAGGACCAGATAAAGGTTCCAGATCCATACGCGCGCTCCGCATGTATGGGCCAAACTGTTCTATGAACCGATCACAATCCGCAGGTCTAGAATGAAACTTCTCAAAGATAGGTTTCCATGCCGTGAGCATGTGGTCCAGCTGCTCATTGCGGTCAACCGTGAAACTCCCCTCACTAGTACGCATCAGCATGGAACTCCGCTTGCACTCATCCTTCACCCACTTGTGTGATTGACGAATAGAAGATTGCATCCTGTCCTTCCAAGCACGAAGGCGCGCTTTGTCCCCTGCCGTCTGGAGCCGCCGATACTCCGCCGCAAGCATATTACACATCTGAGTCACGACCTCACCCGAAAGTGTTTGCCCAACCACCGGAAGAAATGCATCTGCAAAAGGTCCTCGAACTTCACGCGCAAACGATCGAATATGACCCATAGTGACCTCCGCCCGATATCCCCAAGCACGCATCTTACCCAGCTCCTCCGCCCGACGCAGTGCCTTTGCCACCTTACGCATCCACACAGTCTCTGCACCCGCATGCCGCTCCGGTGGATACACACATAGCCGACGAAAGGCCACAGCACCCCGACCTTGGCCAAAGTCCGGTGTACCAGTAGTTGTTGGGATAGAACACAAAATCGTCTCCGCCCTTGTGCACCATGCTTCATAAGCGTCATCAACCCGGCCTCGACGAAGCAATCGTGCTACCGCTGGATCAGAACCTACGCGCTCCACCTCATGTGCATGGGTAGGCTTACTGTACTCCACATGTCCGCCCACATTCCTGCTCATATACCATACTTGACTCGCAATCGGACTGTGTAAAGTCATATGCAAGATCAGGTGGTCTTCTTCGTGTACTCCAGGCAATAAGTCACACGAACGCAAAAGACTAGCCGCAGTTTGATTCACGAAACCCATGTCAATTCGCGATCCACGACCTTTCAAAGATGTAGGGCGAGAGTCAAAGCATCCCCTATGTTTTAGGCTGGGTGGGGCTAGGAAATGGAGGGTCCATTTCTTGACACCCCCCCCACCATGTTTCCGGGTATGGCATCATAGATGCTCCAAGAATCTGCTTCCAATATCCAGCCCCCACAAAATGGAATCACGAATGGCCGGCATGTTTCATGCTTGGCACGGGCAGCACATCATGCACTGTGTGTGTGTGTGTGTGTCTCTCTCTCTCTCTCTCTCTCTCTCTCTCTCTCTCTCTCTCTCTCTCTCTCTCTCTCTCTCTCTCTCGCGGAGTGGACTTGCAAACGGATTCGCAGACAATGCGGAAGCTCGTCTTTTTCGCAGCTGTCGCCAGAGACACTCGGCCGTTTCGCCCCCCATTCTCGGCGGCGACCTGGAACAGACAGTATGTGGGTGCAGCGGGAGTGCATGCAGGTGTTCAGTGATCTCAGGTCCAGGCACTGTTGATTGGAACGAAAGATTGGCGAGGCCTTGCCTGGACATAGCCAGCAAATCGCAGTCAAGCCCGAGACCGATGAGACAACATGAGGAGCAGGCTTCAGCCCCGCAGGAAAGAAGTCGCCGCTCACCCAGCCACGAGCCTCATCGCAAGCTGCGAAATCAGAGTAGCCGAATCCTAAACCCGACACCCGAAACCCGAAACTTGTACAATCCAAGCCCTGAGACGGCCTAAGCCGGACACACTGAAACTCCGGCCCTGAGACCCTGACACCGGTTGAGCCACTCCATCGATCTTGCCGACGAGTCTGTACAAGCGACTCTTGGCTGCAGCGAAATCGCCCTCGGGGAGTACCTGCGACATCTGGCCGACAACGAAGCGGCCGAAGTTCTTGGCTGAGCCACTGTACGCAATGTCGAAGTACTCGGGAGCTCGCTTGCAAATGTGAAACCATTGTAGGCTCTTGCCTCCTTGCAGCACTATGCAGCCGCTCTCGTCCGTGATCGGGACGCCCTTGTCACTCCACAGCTTGGGCACGGTCAGCAGGAACTTCTCCAAATTTTTGGATCCCTGAATGGAGTTCGTGAAATCCACAGCGGAGTATATCCGTCGCTCGCTGTGCAGCTGCACGTCAGCGGACTCCAGGTGCGCACCATCGCCATCAGCAGCAACCGTTGCCGGGGCCGACAACAGCTCCGGCTGGCACTGCAATTTGTCCACCTGGTCTTTGGTGAGCTGGGTGATTGCAACCCGGAGCTTCGTCTCGCAGTTCGCGAAGTCGATGTTCCCCACGTGGCCGAGGAAACACTGCGGAGTCAGCAGCTCAATGGGGCTGTGAGAACAGGCAAAGTAGCGCAATGGTGCGGATTCCGTCAAATGGACCACCCTCACCCGGCTGCAAGTGAGCACCGGGAGTGCATGTACGGAGGGCTTCGTGACCCTCAATTTCCGGCCGGCCTCTGATTTGTCTTTCCCTTTGAGAAGAGCCCCCCTGTAGATGGTCAGCACGACTCCCAAAGAAACCTTCTTGTCGTGCACATACACGATGATCTGCGGCATGGATTTCGCATCAGTCCTGGGGATGAGGTGTTGCAACCTCGGAGTGGCACCAATCAGGGATCCCAGGAGTAGAAACCGTATGAACTAAGCCCTAGACCCTGCAAAATGCCATCGTTGGCCCCCGCATCCGTGGCCCGTGTCTGCATGACTGCTTTCGCAGCCGTTTGCTGCCAGGCGATGGCACGGGACTGCCTGCATCCCGATTCCAAGGAGGCCTCTCTCGCGATCGCGAGCTCGTGCTGTAGGGAATGCCAAGAGCTCTGCAGCTTCGTGGTGCCGGTCACTTGAGCGGCGGACAAGATACCTTCTCTCAACCTGATGTTTTGCACGAAGGATCGGATGCCCTGCATCATGTAGCGAAGCCGCTCTTGGCATGCCGTCAGCGACCCCACATCCTGGAGATCGAAAGCTTCCACGTCCGCCCATTGCCTCAGCATCTGCCGGAAGTTGGAGTGCTCGTCGGATGCATCGTCGCCTTTTCGGGCAAGTGTCTCTGCCTCCTCGCCCTCCGAGTCCGAGTCCTCTCCGATGAGCTCCCGCAGCTGATCATCCGAAGCCGCTGATATGGCCTCCAGGCTCTGTTTCATGGCCGCATGGTCTTCGACGGCCTGCAGCGCCAGCACGGAGTCGTCGGCAGCGGGCTCCTCCTCCTCAGCGATGTTCTCCTGGATGCCCAAGTCCATAGCCAGCTCATCGTCGTCGGCTTCGACCAGGTCCTCGCCATCGTCGGCACCTTGGGCGATGAGGTTCCTGCCTTCTCGTCTGTACCAGCACTCAAAGTTACCGGCTATCAAAGCCGGCGACCGGCCCACGGATATGTAAGCTTGAAACCTGCACATCTCCGTGAAGGCTTCGCGACACAGCTTGTCCGCTGTCGGCTGATCCAAACACTGCTGCAGGAGGCATTTCGACGGCACCGGGCGAAGCTTCTTCTTGGACTGCACCAAGTGCTCCTTGTAGATGCCAAGCACTCCGTCCCGAGCACTGCCTGCACGCCTGTCCTTTGGGAGATTTGTACTTAAGTACATTTTTTTTCTAAGGACAGGCCAGCGTCACGCTGTTTTTTGTGCTTTCGGAGGCTTGCGTGTTGGGGGACCTGAGCCGGGAGTGATGGAAGGCAGCCACTTGAGCCAAAAAACAAAAAAAATAAAAAACAAAACAGTTCTGGCGGATTTCAAGCAAAAACGGAGAGATACATGTGTGCATTATATAGTATGTGTATGTATTTTGTAAGCAAACATGTGTTGTGTAGCGTTTAGAAGAACCCCAAAACCCTGAAAAAGACCTTTCCCTTCCTTCTCTCCTCACTTTCGCACAGAATGCAGCAAACATGTCGCGTGAAATGCCCAAGCTTCGTAAGCATCGGATGACATCAGTCACGATTGCGTTGTCAAGCACGTAGATACGTCCTAATAAGTAATTCCGTATAGATTGTGGCAACCGCAGTCAGGACAAACAAAGGCTGCATCAGGGGAAAGTAGCTGCGATATTTGTTCGGCCATCGCAGTAATGTGACACGTACGTAGACAAACAGTACGTTCTTTACTCCGGAAGCCACAGCAAAGTTGAACCCCAGATAAATAATTTAGCCACCGTGCGAGCCCTGAAAACTACACACCCCGCGCGGAGCCACCGCGAACCCTTAGAAACCTACACACCCCGCGGGGCCTAACCCATCAGACCGCGGCTACACCATAAACCCTGGCTATCATCAAGCCAATAAACGCCAGCAGAGCACCCAACCCACAAACACGGGCCGAAGTAAACCCCAAACCCTATTATTCCGCTGTACTATAAGCCTACACGCAAACAATTAAACGTATCAACGAAACCCGAGGAAGCCTGACAAACTGAAAAGCCTCACCCTCCAACCCCAAACCCCAAACATCAAATGCCAAGCCCCGCAGACCCTAAATCCGAAACATCTTGTACCCACATGTACCCCGAGCAAAAGCAGGCCCTAAGCCCCAAGCCCAATTTCTCAATAGCTTAAACCCCCGACCCTACAGTATGTGAGGCCAAATATATGATATCTGAAGACTCCAGCGAGAATATGCAGGCCTAGATTCCGAAGACTCAAACCAACCCCTAAACCCCAAACCCCAAACGCGAAGGCCTAAACCCGAAACCCTAAAAACTTAAACCGCCAACTCCAAATATTATATATGTACATATATATATATATATATATGTACATATATAATATTTGGAGTTGGCGGTTTAAGTTTTTAGGTTGTCACGAAATCTGAAATTGCCCAGCCCACCCCAGCGCAGACACGACTGCTCGCAAGCCACTATATTTACCGGCATCCATGCACGCTCATGCATGAGTGGCAAGCCAATGCGCCAACAGATGTTGCCCGAAATGTTATTTGGGCGGCATCGCGTAGATCAAGCTATGCAAAATTGTTGCACATGCACTCACGCAGCTATATATAGGGCGCCCCTGCGAAATGATATTTGGGCCTATAGCTGTGGCAAATCTCACTCAGATGTTGCCCGAAATGATAGTTGGGCCTGAGCAATATATCAAGCTATGTGAAATCGCAAAAGTTGCCCAACGAATCGAACTGAACCGCTTCTTGTTTTACCGCCCCGCCAGCCAGCAGTTATACTGCAAGAGCCACCTTTGCAGCACTCGGAGCGACAGCGTAGCGGCGTGCACGGCCCCACGGGCACATTTCATGACTTTGCCGACAAAGTCCTCCTCGAGATTGCACCCGGCGTACCGGGGATTCAATCGGCTGTATGTCAATCTGCAAACGCATTCGCAATGATATTGATGAAACTTTGGCCTGATCTTATACCTGAGTGCGGTTCTGCTCATATTCTTGATCGTTAGCACACTCCATGCTTGCATGTAATCACATATTTAGACGGGAGGCCGTGGCTCCAGCATCTCGAGATATCGCGATGCCAGGGCCAGGTAGGAGTGGCAATACCATCTGCCGAGCCTTGGATCATCACAGACTTCTACAAAATTCGTTTTTGCACAACAGGGCTCCACACACACGCAACACCGGTGCAGCAACGGTTCTGCTGCGCCAGCATTGCCTGCTCATCCGACAGCCAGATTGAGCAGGCGTCCAGCAAATTCGAGAATGCTGTGATCGACCAGGCATTCACTGCCGCCAATCGAAGCTCGGGAATCGTTTGGCAAACCTCCTTAGGCCCAAATCCTATACAAACCACAGCTGAATACAAGCGTGGACCGCAGATCGTCAAGCAGAGAATATCGCAAGGCAAGAGGCAGACAGCCGTTCGGCTAAGTACGCCATCCTTATATAGGCACATGCAATGTTTGTGCTTTGCTCCCTTTGCGCTCTCCCTATACTCTCCCTCTCTGCTGAATTATTGGTGTGCCAAGCAACAAGACACGGTTTGCATATCCTTTTCCCGGCCCCTTCGGGTACTCCAATGTGACCGCATCGATTCCCAGCTTCACCAAACCTCAGATATATTTTGCGGATGCAGCACGAATTGTCAGTACGGAGTGGTTCCAGCAGCCGAAAATACGAGCAGCTGGGTGACTCAGTCCATCAAGAATGCTGGGTCGGATATGGTGCTCCGTGCACCACATCTGAAAGTCCACATGCAGGTGATGCAACCTTTCATCCCACGTTTCGTAAGCCTGAAACTGCGGAGAAAACTTCGCCAGCTCCATAACATGAGACGCAGTGGCATCCCTCTCAGTTCCCAGATACAGGCAATGGAGCAAATCTGGATACTCACAGGAGTGGTGGTAGCCAGGAATTCTCCACATCCTCGAATACGACACTTTGCGGCGCAACATGCACGGCGGACACGCACTTGGTAATTGTCTAGAGCCTGAACGCAAAGTTAAAAGTTTCCAAACATAAGTCAAGCCTGGTGACGCGATGTTTGCACCAACGCCTAAGACAAGCGAAGCAGCGCGTGCAATAAGTGACACCCGCGACACAACTCAAGCCAGCTCCACACCACACTTGCATTAGAGCACCATGCCGCCTAGCTACTATCATTCGAAGCTTCATCCAAGTCTGCCTGGTTATCGAAGCCCTCACGCATGTCAGCCCAATGCTTTCCAGGTGTGCTGCCATCGCACAAGCATCTCGGGCAGATTCTGCCGGCGTTCTGCTCACGAGGAGCATTGCTAGCAAGGTTCCCGTAGCTTCTACATTGTTCCAACCATTCCCTTTTGTGCTTCCAATCTCCCTTCGATATGACAGGGTGCATGGTCCATCCGTGTTGGCCTTCGCTGGCGGGGTCGCCACAAATCCGAAAGGAATCGGCGTAGTAGCGCTGTAGCGCCTGAAGCGTGATATTCTGGCCGTTGTCGTAGACAAATCTGTCTGATCGCACAACCTCAGCCATGATTCACACACACTGTGTGCATGTGCACATCCGCTGCACGCATACATAAGCGACGTCTGGAATTCACATAGATGCATTAGAGGAATCTAAAACACCGGCCAGGGCACACAGAACGGGAACTTCTGCAGCATCGAGTCGCCCCGGTGGATGGCCAAGGGCGAAAGCGACAGGATCAAGATGCTTTTGCTCCTCTTCCCAGTACCCTCATCGCCGTGAATCGACACGGCCACCGCTTTTTGCCTGGCCTCCTCCGGCCAGGACTGCACCGGATGATTCCTTGTATATGTTGCCGGATCGACATATGAAACATTCCACGTACTGCACTCTAGAAAACAAACAAGACACAGTCCACACACACCTGCATGCTGCGAGAAAAACGCATCCCCCATGGCTCGCTCTTGGCCTTCTGCCACCAGTCCAGCCAGTCGACAGTGCCCGCCCTTATTGATTGCGCAGTGTGGATGGAGAATTCAAAACATCACGACATCACCAACATGCGAGAGCATCTATTCCAATCTATGCATATGCACGCATGCAATGCCAGCAAGCATCAGCTCTGCGATCAAGCCAGAGCAAACCATGCTCTTAAAGAGAATATGAGGCAACAGCACCGGCAGCGTTTGCATGCACTTATTCTCAGTCGACTGGGCCCTCTTGCTCTTCTTCTTGGGGTTTCGCCTCCTCGGCAAACCAGCCCTCCTCAAGCGACAATTGATTTGTCGTCGCACTTCTTGTTCTCGTCGCGCTTCAGCACGCATATCTTTCATCATGAGGGACACCGAACTCAAAGGGCATACTAGTGGAGCCTCGGATATCCTTGCATACATTCCGACATGTTCTTTAGACGGCATACATATATTATTTATATTTAGACATCTAATATAATTCAGACCGGCGACATCGCTCTTCGAGGAAGATACAGCCTTGCTCAGTTGCTCCTCGATGTGTTGCGCACAACGTCCTGATGCGCCCAAACTCGCAGCCCACCTGGTACCTTGGAACCGGGCATCTGCGTGCATGATTTGCCAAGGCATGCAATGATATAAGGTATTATAACCATTGTGCAACAAGGCACTGGGGGTCACATTTGCATCCCCTGCTTCTGCGACGGCCGCAGACGCCACTTCTTGAAGAAGTCCGGAGCTGGCTCCCCGGCCCACGTGAAAACCGAGTGTTCTGCTCAACGCGCTTTTCCGCAATGAAAACTCGGCAAAAGATGGTCTTCTGGCAACAGAACCATCACTGCCAGCAGTCGCCTGATTTCTGTCCAGGCTCTTTTTCAAATGAACCAGTCTCTTCAGCAGCGGCATAGGAGCCCAGGCTGGGGTCAGACAGCACGAAAAGGAAAGCCATGATGACGTGTAGGGTGGGCTGCATGGGTGGGCTCGTGTAGGGTGTGGTGGTGCATGGTGATACATAGTGGCATGTTGCATACCAAAGTGCATAGGGTGGTCTTGCATGGTGCATGGTGGTATTGTGCATGGTCGCATTGGGGAGTGAATCATACAAGTAGTATTACAAGGTGACCGATGATCCAGAGGTTGAATGAAAGAGAACGTCATCGCATGACTCAACAAAAACTCTACATGGGGCTGGGTTGGCACCTCGAACATAAGAAGCATGGCCGTGCACACATATGCTCATGGACGACTGATGCCAGACTCAAGGACACGCGCTTCAGGCTTCAAGCCATGCATGACAAGTCGACTACACAAACCGCATCAATGCTTTTGGGGGATGATCGCACTTGATGCTGCCGGCCGGAAGTGACTCAAGGCAGGACTGCAGTACACTGCAAACCCCAGGCACTCCAGCATGCGGCGGCCTCCTGTAAGATGCACAGCACACTAATCATTGATGCAGAACGCCAACTTCAGGGTTTCGGTGTTTCGGACTTAGGACGCAGGATTTTGGAGCTTTGGGTTTAGGATCTACAAACACTTCCGGAACAAGGTAGCAAGAGTATATCTGCGATGGCAGCTAGTCACACAACATAGAGTGCCGCGCATGCTGTTCTCAAAAGATGAACTGCTGGCCGATCCCCGCTCACACTCAGAGCACACTGGTTTTTTCAGAGGCAGAGTGCTGAGCACAGCAACCCTCCAGCCATCAGCAGATCGAAGGAAAGGAAAAGGAGGCTTCCATGGGTCGGATGCAAAATAGCGGTTAATTCGGGAACCTTGATGGTATCAGCAGGCGGTATGAACCCCGAACACCAACACGTCCCAATTAGAATGATTGATGCAACCAAACCACACTATGCTAAACACTACATACATATATAGATGTATATGCCACTCCGAAAACGAGAAACCATGAAAACACATACATACAGACAGGGCTCAGCTAGGACCTACGGTTCGTTATAAGACGATTTACAGGGTTCTAGCTGTTTAGGATTCGACGTATTGTGCTATGTTTCCTACTCAACCGCTACCCACCCACCCACCTATCATACCTAGACCGGCTACAACCATATGCAGAAGCTACCATATATGCGCCTCGGTTTGCATCCGGACCTAAGCCTGTGCTGCAGCCTTTGCAGCCGACTTGGCTTTCTTGGCCGTCTTATTCGCGGGACGTCGCTCCGAAGCGATCCTGAGCCGAACAAGAATCGTGATCTATTTTACGAATAACATCAAGCTTCACATGGATCGACTGTCACACACAATATAAGCTGCACATGCCAACAAAAAAACATCCTATATATATACATCTGAAGCAAGAAGCAGGCCATTCGCCACTCGAAGATGCTTCTTGAAACCCTCCACAAACACGGTAGCCTAGGAGGTGTCGCATGCAGTGTGCCGAGAGGCAAGGGTCAAGGTCTGCACACACACACACACACATACACTGCACATCGTAACCGAAACATCTGCCCAAGTCGCCTCCAGCAGGGCCGATTGCACATCGGCGGCCACTGGCTCTGTCCCCATGAGCTGGAGCTTCTTGCGACAAGCCCCGATGCCTTCGGCACAGTCCTTAATCTTCCCCATCAAAGCCTCCTGGCTCTCGAGGACCTCCAACCTCAGATTTCGGAGCAGATGCAACTTTGCACCGAGAAGGCTTTCCCGCTGAAACATGGTGTTCGCCTGCCTAGGCACTCTGCACACGTTTTCACGGCTTGCCCCTGGGCCGTGTTCGCCGCGGCCACCCACGACTTCACGAAAAGTCCAACGTTCTCTCCACTGCAGATCAACTCCATGTCGGATCCCTGCCCAGGCAGGCTATCTATCGAGCTGGGATATGTGCATGCATGCATGGGACTATCACGTACACACGACGCGTGTGCCTCCGGCTTCGGAACTTTCGCCTTCTTGGGCGGCGGCTGGGGGTCTTCCGTCGTCGTGCCGGGTGGCGCAGGCGCACTGCCTTTTCCCTTTGGAGCCGCCTTGCCGGGGGCCGGCACTGGCGGGTTCACCGAAGAAGTAGCCCCATCAGCAACTGGCAGGGCGCCGTTCATGGAGTCCAGCTGTGCCGCCACGGACGTGGCGAAGTTCGGGCAGACGCCCATGCTGATTGCGATTTCGTCCTCATTGTTTCCAACAGCACCGTGACATGAACTACTATACAACAGCATCCGGATCCGGACATGAGACAGTAGAAAAAGTGCCAAGACGCGATCGTACGAACCGTCAGGGTCCGTCGCTGGCGGCCGTAATATAGAAATGTCTCCATATCAGGATCATTCCGATCGCAACTGGTCCTGACACTTTCTGTTTTCATTAACTATTATGGAGCACACGGTACCCTAACTGAACTGCAAGACATGATCTTCACGCAACCGGTCCCTTTGGGCTCTGCTCTGCGTCTTGCAATGAAGGATAAGGCCTTCTGTTCGTTGCCCTCGTGAAAGGCGAGTATATCACGCCAGCAATAATATTCACCTGTGCATGACCACATCACATAGACCAACTAAGAAACCTTCCAAAAAAACGACACACATATTCGACAAACTCCCAGAAATATAGCACGGCTATACGTATAATATATATATATATATATATATACATACATATGGATATACATTATCTTCTGTATTTCGTATATGCTATAATATGAGAAAACTTCAATATAGGAATATGCGGATCCACCTTCGTCTTTGCTCTCCTCCTCGCTCTGCCGGCGGAACTGGAGGGCACATTCCAAAGCCGCAGGGTTACCTTTGGGATGACGGGATCGATGAATACATCTTTACACTCTCAGACACACAACGTGTACATTAATAATCTCAGCTACAGAGTACACGAGGCTACGGCGATACCCGTCGTCATATAGTTAGTGCATATACAATAATATATAAGCCTGGCCACAGCCTGTCAGAACAAACTTCTGGAACATTGCCAAGCGCGGTCCGCCCTGCACCCACACCTTCTTCAACTCCACTGCTCCCGGTGAGTTCTCGCAAAAGCGTTGGAACGAGCGGTACTCAGTCCTGTGGGTGCTTGAGTTGACCACAGGTCCCGTCGGCGGGGCTTTCGTCACAGCGGTCTGCGGTGGCAAAGGCGTCGAAGGAGCAGGTCCTGCTGTCGGCGGGGCTTTCGTCACAGCGGTCTGTGGCGGCAAAGGCGTCGAAGGGCTCGCAGTGCTCGGCGGCGGCAAAGGCGTCGAAGGGCTTGCTGTGCTTGCCGGCGGCAAAGGCGTCGAAGGGCTTGCTGCTGTGCTGGCCGGCAAAGGCGTCGAAAAAGGGCTTGGCGGCAAAGCCGGCTGCGAGTCGATGATCTTCGTCTTGTCAACGGCCTCGACTCCAGCAGCAGCATCAGGGGCTTTTGCAGCAGCCACAATGCTGGCCATGGTCTGCTGAATGGCCGCAAGCCCCGCTGCATCAACACCATGGCTCACCGCCGTGCTGAGAACCGTCGCCAGCATCGTCGTCATGGCATCACTCGTCGGCTTTGCTGCAGCTGCTGTCGTCTGCTGCTGAAGCGGCACAGTCGGCAACGGCATCGGCTGGGGTACTGCCGGCGGCCCCTTCGGCACAGGTTGGCTGATGTCGGAGTCGACGGAATCCGCATCACTGGTCAACGACAGCGAGCTGCTCGAGCGGTACCGCGACCAGAAGTTGCCATACATCGCCTTCTCCTGCAAGGTCAGCTCCGGCAGCGCATACTCATCCTGTTGAATGAGAAATACAAAGAAAAATCATGCCAAATTATTATAGATCGCAGAAAATCACAATTAGCTGCTTTGCATAAGGCTTGACATATCACGAACCATCACTGCTCTACGTGGTGAATGTCCTTCACAGCAGCAGCCTTCGGCTTCGTCCTTGCCGCACTTTTCGCTTTCGCCGTCACGGGAGTCGGCGACGGCGACGGTGCCTTCACCAGCAGTGCTGCTGACGTGTCCGGTGCAACCAAGTCCTGCGAGACAGATCGCATTTCGGTCGGCACCAGAAAACACACACAGAAAGAAAATGTCACACTGCATGCATTATATTATGTGTCCCATACGACGGTGATACATCCTACACGTCGTGTGTGGTCTAGGGTTTAAGGGTTAGGGTTTAGGGTTTAGGGTGTATACATAGACCGGCCACGGACTCAGGTTTTGCGAATATTCCAGACAACATTAACAACGGAACCTGCCTGGGAGACTCGAGCCACCTTTGATGTGTCATCAAAGGAAGCAGCCGAAGCCAGTGTTGACACAGCGCTGCGATTCAGCCGGGGCGGGGGTTCGGGCGTGTCATTCACACTGATTGGCTCCTCCTGATCCATCTGCGTTTCAAGCTCTTGCACCATCTCCAAAATGGAGGGAGTTCCAGGCTGCTGCAGGAGCGTCCTTGCTGGCGGAAGGTTCTGCGGAACTGCACACGGAGCTGTCACCTCTTGCGGTCCACTTGCTGGCGGAAGGTTCTGCTGAACTGCACTAGGCGGAGCTGCCACCTGCTGCTGCGGTCCACTTGCCGGAAAGTTCTGCGGCGGATCTGCACTAGGAGCTGCCACCTGCTGCGGGGGGCCACTTGCCGGAAGGTTCTGCGGGGGCACTGCACTTGGAGCTGGCACCTGCTGCTGAGGGGGGCCACTTGCCGGAAGGTTCTGCTGCGGGGGAACTGCACTTGGAGCTGCCGTCTGCTGCGGGGGGCCACTTGCCGGAAGGTTCTGCTGCCAGGGAACTGCACTTGCAGCTGCCACCTGCTGCGCACCTGCTGGAAGGTTCTGCTGCGGAACTGCACCTGGAGCTGTCATCACCTGCTGCTGTGGTACACTTGCCAGGAGAAGGTTCTGCTGCGGAACTGCACAAGGAGCTGCCACCTGCTGCGGTCCACTTGCCGGAAGGTTCTGCTGCGGAACTGCACTTGGAGCTGTCACCTGCTGTGGCGGAAGGTTCTGCTGGGGAACTGCGCACGGAGCTGCCGCCTGCTGCGGTCCACCTGCTGCTGGCGGAAGGTTCTGCTGGGGAGCTGCACAAGGAGCCGCCATCTGCTGCATTCCACCTGCTGCTGGTGGAAGGTTCTGCTGCGGAGCTGCACAAGGAGTTGCTACCTGCTGCGGTCCACCTGGAAGGTTCTGCGGAACTGCACCCGGAGCCACGTGCTGCGGTCCACTTGCTGGAGGAAGGTTCTGCTGAGCTGGACTGGGCGGAGCTGCCACCTGCTGTTGCGGTCCACTTGCTTGAAAGTTCTGCGGCGGAACTGCACTACTGGGAGCTGCCACCTGCTGCGGGGGGCCACTTGCCGGAAGGTTCTGCTGCGGAACTGCACTAAGAGCTGCCACCTGCTGCTGCTGCTCTCCACTTGCCGGAAGGTTCTGCGGCGGAACTGCACTAGGAGCTGCCACCTGCTGCGGGGGGCCACTCGCCAGAAGGTTCTGCGGAACTGCACTAGGAGTTGTCACCTGCTGCTGCGGTCCACTTGCCGGAAGGTTCTGCGGCGGAACTGCACCAGGAGCTGCCACTGCCACCTGCTGCTGCTGCGCTCCACTTGCCGGCGGAACTGCACACGGAGCTGTCACCTGCTGCTGCGGTCCACTCGGCGCAAGGTTCTGCTGAACTGCACTAGGAGCTGTCACCTGCTGCTGCGGTCCACTCGGCGCAAGGTTCTGCTGAACTGCACTAGGCGGAGCTGCCACCTGCTGCTGCGGTCCACTTGGCGGAAGGTTCTGCGGGGGAACTGCACTGCTGGGAGCTGCCACCTGCTGCTGCGGTCCACTTGGCGGAAGGTTCTGCGGGGGAACTGCACTAGGAGCTGCCAGCTGGTGCTGCTGCGGTCCACCTGCTGGAAGGTTCAGCTGTGGAACAGCACCATCACGTGGCTGCAGCATCGTTGACCTTGTATAATCAGCAAGACTATATACTATAATCTAAGGCTATCCAGAACTTCTTAATTAATTCATTGAGAAATAATCTCTCTATACATATATATATATATATATATGTATATACACACATATATTATATATGACATATATATGTTTACATAGGTATATCAATATTGATCCGGCAAATACCACAAAGGGAAGCTCAATCCGCGGCTGCATTCTTATGTACCTGCTGTCCCTTTCCCATGGCAGTATGACAATAAGTAGCCTCCGGCACCCACCTGTCGCTTAATATGTAGTCCCCCCGAGCTGCGGGTTGCGCTCGCTTTTGTGTTTGTGTTTTGTGCCCGCAGGCACACCCAGCCTGTCCCCTGCGATAGCGCTTGCGATTTTTTGTGGTGTGCGTTGTGACCAGCCTCGCCGCTTCCCCTCCTACATATGTCAGTGGTCTTTTCCATGCAACGCGGTAGCGCTCGCGAAATTTCTGCGGGGTTGTTTTTTTGTGCCCAGGCTCGTGTGTTCCGATGATTCCAAGGGGGTAGCCCCCCCCCCCCCCCGCGGTAGCGCTCGCGAATTTTCTGTGGTGCGGTTTTGTGCCCAGGCACGTGTGTTCCGATTATTCCAAGGGGGTAGCCCCCCTCCGCGGTAGCGCTCGCGAATTTTCTGCGGTGTGTTTTCTGTGCCCAGGCACGTGTGTTCCGATTATTCCAAGGGGGTAGGCCCCCCCCGCGGTAGCGCTCGCGAATTTTCTGCGGTGTGTTTTCTGTGCCCAGGCACGTGTGTTCCGACTATTCCAAGGGGGTAGGCCCCCCCCGCGGTAGCGCTCGCGAATTTTCTGCGGTGTGTTTTCTGTGCCCAGGCACGTGTGTTCCGATTATTCCAAGGGGGTAGGCCCCCCCCGCGGTAGCGCTCGCGAATTTTCTGTTGTGTGTTCTTGTGCCCAGGCACGTGTGTTCCGATTATTCCAAGGGGGTAGGCCCCCCCCGCGGTAGCGCTCGCGAATTTTTTGTGGTGTGTTCTTGTGCCCAGGCACGTGTGTTCCGATTATTCCAAGGGGGTAGGCCCCCCCCGCGGTAGCGCTCGCGAATTTTTTGCGGTGTGTTTTTTGTGCCCAGGCACGTGTGTTCCGAATATTCCAAGGGGGTAGGCCCCCCCCGCGGTAGCGCTCGCGAATTTTTTGCGGTGTGTTTTTGTGCCCAACACCTACCCACCCGCCCCCGCGTGTGCTATTTTTATGTGTGCCGTGGAAAGAGCAACCCCCGTGCTTATAGTGTGTGTGTGTATATATATATATTTATATTTATTTATGTATTATTACTGTTATAGAGTAGGAGGACAGGAGAGGAGAGGAGAGGAGAGGAGAGGAGAGGAGAGGAGAGAGGATGGGGAGGATGGTAGTGACGCCGAATGGCATCTTCTGCCGCACCATCTCCTGTTGCTCTGCAGAAAGCCCAATCTGACCCAGCAGCAAAGCATCGATCGAGGAAGTCACTTCCTCGGATTTGTTTGCGTACATATAGATATGTATATAGGAGAACATACCAACACACAAGCAATAGTGTGTGTGTATACATAGCAAGCATCGGAAGCTGCAGCCGCCGGGAGCACAGCCGGCGGTTTGCCGGCAGGTTTGGGTTTCCCCATCATCGAATTGCGAATCTCAAAGCCGTCACTACAGACTGCAATGCTTGATTTCCACACAAGCAGCACAAGAAACAAGGATGACTGATCCATCGCGAACCAATGCTGAACGAATCTCACAAGCTCCGAAGCACATCGGATGCCATCGCGAACACGATTTTCAGGGTTTTGGGTCCTACGTGTTGAGTTCACAGATTCTACGCATTTTCCCTTGTTTTTCACATGTTTTTCACATGTTTTCGACAAGTGTGTTTTCAGCATAATGATGGTGATCAAACGTTACTCGGATGTTATTTGCAACATACTTTTCAGGTTTTGGGTCCTACGTGTTGAGTTCACAGATTCTACGCATTTTCCCTTGTTTT